AGTCGCGTTATAAAACGAGCCGCGTTACATGTCCGCCGCTCGTTACAGTTTACCCAATAAAGAGCACAAAGAATATCCTTTCACGCGGATCCATTATGGCGCTCGTGAACGTATTGACGCGTTTCGCGACGCTTAAATGTAGACGGTAATGGTCTTTACCGCGCCAAGTCTGGCCCTTAATTATTAACACTTCGAAACAATGCTCGTAATGAAGCACGTTCGCGTTGTAAATACGCACGCGTGTTTGTCTGCTGGTTTCTTCGCGTAGGGCGCGTATGCCTTCGACGAAATATCCTGGGAAGGTATTGTTAGGGAGCTGTTTAAATTTAAACGTAGACGCTTGGATTTTCGCAACGTCGAATTCCGTCAGGAGACTATTGTTAGTTTTAGTTCAACTGGCGATAGTATCGGGACGCTTTGGAAGATTTCTTTTCTTTAGATGTGAGATGGAGTTGGGAGTAAATACCTATCTGTATAGTAGAATGATCTAAGTAATTAAACACTGTCACATACAATACACGGTAAGTATAACAATTTCTAAATCAACATAGACAATCTACACCGCAAAGTAAAATTCGATTTTATCACGGTGAATACAATCTGCCATATTTAATAATCTGCTATCTTTCTTCAAATATGAACAATTAGTTCAACGATCGTGCCAATCTTGCCACGTATGCTCGTGCATCGACGAACGATCAAGAAAGGGAAGCATAAAAATATAAACAAATAACATGTGGAAGACAGTAAAAAATATTACGAAAAAATTACAGGGGAAACTATTTCATCGATATTGTATTAAGGAAAAAATATCATTTCTCAATATAATATCGGTGAAATGGCTTCCTCTCTAATTCATAATTTCTTTTCATTTATAAATTATGGGGGATGCCATTTCACCTATATTATATTGAGAAATTATATTTTTATATTATATTATATTTTGTTTTTTTATTATATTTTTATATTTTATATATATATATATATATATTTCTCAATATAATATCAATGAAATGGTCTATCAATGAAAAACTTCTTTTCCTTTTATAAATTATGGGGGATGCCATTTCACCTATATTACATTGAGAAATTATATTTTTATATTATATTATATTTTGTTTTTTTATTATATTTTTATATTTTATATATATATTTCTCAATATAATATCAATGAAATGGTCTATCAATGAAAAACTTCTTTTCCTTTTATAAATTATGGGGGATGCCATTTCACCTATATTATATTGAGAAATTATATTTTTATATTATGTTATATTGTGTTTTTTATTATATTTTTATATTTTATATATATATATATTTATATTATATTGTATATATATATATTTCTCAATATAATATCAATGAAATGGTCTCTTAACTTTTTGTAATATTTTTACATATATACATCTACATGTATCTCACATTTAAGAATGACAACTTCTCCTGTAGCACCCTGTATACATCAAGCTACTCCACTTAAAGACGAAATTCCTATAAAGACGAAATTCTCCAGATTTAGCAGCGGAGTAACGAAATCTACGGCAACTTAATTCTACGATCGAAACTAATCTCGCCCGTGTACGCACCGATTCTGAAACGAATGCCTGTTGCCGAAGGAACGTTCGAAGAGATATTCCGGTTCGTGAATAAACTGCCGATGGCAAGGCCACAACTAACAGCCGCCAGTCTGGCGTCGATAGTCCTGCTGCCGTTTTGCACACACGTTCCACGCATCGGCGGCTTCCTCTTTTGCCCTCCTCCTTTATCTTCATCCCACCGCTGATTCCACGATGGATCGTAATTCGGCTTTACAACGTCCGCGACACCTTCGCGGATCGCGATTGCCATCCACTCGGGGACGGAGAGAGAGAAAAAAAAAACACGAAGACGAAGAAGAAGAAGAAGAAGAAAGGAGCGACACGGCTGCTCCGCGGAGTACATAAAAATTTCAGTCTCGTGTTTCCATCCACGTGCATCTTCATTCGCAAGCGATTACCAGCTCGTCGTGTTGCCAGTTAATTAATTCGATCGGCAGCCAGTATTTAGCCGGTTCTTGCCGCGACTGCCCATCGTGATAAGTCATAAAGTGGACTTTAATTCGATTTTACGACACTGTCAGCAACGTTTTCACACAACTCGCCGATAAAACGAGGCCTTTTTTGGAGAAGCTCGCGGCACGAATGAGTTCCCTCTTGTGTTCGTTCAATTCTATCTTCTTTCAATCGCTTTTCCTTTTTTTTTTTTTTGTTCTCAAGAGATATTTCTCGCAGATTGAAACAACTTCATTTTGTTAGTATTCCTGTTCCAGTGCTTGAGTCGACGATCGTAGATTTTATGTTTTCGATGGATTCAATTAACTTGGATAAGATAAACTCTAGGTTCTATCTGCAAAGAAATATACAAGGTCCTTTCTCTGATTGATTCGCGGAATCAATAAAAAAGGAAGATGATAAAATTGCTCGCGGCGTTGATAAGCGTGCAAGTTGCCGCAAAAATCGATATCGAAATTCGAAAAATCAGCAGCAATTTTTTGATCATTCGGTGCTACAATGTTTCTCGTTACTCGATATTACAGAGCAGATATTTGATCGATCAATTAATGTTTGAAACGACGCGAGATAATCGTGCTGACAGATCGCACAAATGTATCACGTGAATGAGATACGATCGAGCCCCTCGCTTTCGCGATAATTGAACTCGAAACGTTGAAAAATACTCTCGGCGAGATCACCTGTCAGAGCAACGCGTAAAATCAATAGGTTACATGGAATCTACATTTTAAAATAAACCAAAAAGAAAAAACGAAAAAAAGAGATGATAAATTATAACGAAGGAACGTTACCACTGGCAATGATTGCTATCAATTACTAAAATGAATAAATGGTTTCGAGAAAATGTACGGTACAGTAAGAAACGAAGAAAACGTTCAGTCCTCCGTGAAATCGGCAGGTTAACGAAAAAGTGATCGTTTGAAATACGATTTTTTTTTTAGTAAAGAAATAAACATACATATAAATAATAGTGAGGTATGAAATACTGATCTAAATATTCGCCAGATTAGATAGAAACATTTAACAGCAAATAAGGGAAAATGAAGAGAAAAAGATGCAAGGATCCAATCTGTCCAGCAAATCAATCTCCTCCGAGGTAAATTTTAAAAATCATCATAAAAACGATACGAACATTCTTCATACAAAATTTAATCGCCGTTTTGTCGATATTGTCCTGCAAGTGCAAAGAGGAGAAAAAAATCAAAGAAACGAGCAATCGTACCAAGAGGACGCAGTCGCACAACGGATTGTAGAAAGTACATTAGATCATTTTTACGTCACAATTCTTGTAAATCGTTCTGTAACTTTGATTATCTTTTATGTCATACGATGATCAAGTACACACGATTTGGATGAAAATAAATATATATGTGAACAAAGATTTTCATTCAATTCCCAGCAAAATGTGCCAAGCTTCAAGATCTACCGCAGAAAGTTCAACATCGACGTCGAGGCCACGGTGAGAGGGTGATAAATAAATTATAGTCTTTGTTGCATCCACCTGCAACATTTTGCAAGAAGCATCGAGGCAACAAATCTTTCAGAATCTCGCATTCTTTAAGATCCTTATTCCCATGCCATTTCAATGATTCAGAGAATAGCTACTGCACACGCTAAGATTATCACATTGACTAATACAAAGAACACGCGTGGATTTCGAAATATATTATTCACAGAACGCTCGTTCATAATTATTCGACAATATTTATATTTATCGAACAATATTATACTTGTCATATTTTTCAGTAATATCGTAACACATTTTCTGCGAATCAAAGTTTCATTGAACTTGCAGAAAATACTTTTTGAAACGCAAGAGAATAACGCAGTGACTAAATATAAATATTTGCCTGTATTAAAAGACCTATTACGTACGCGTTGAATTTTGAAAGAGAAGAGCTCCGTTCGCAATTCAAAAATTCGAGTCTTTTCGAATCGCAGCGCAAGAAGCAGAGAATCAGCGAGATCGTGCAGATCGGTGAGTAAATCGCGCAGAAGGAGAGCCTGCCACTGTCGCGAAATACGGGAAGCCCGCAGACGTTCAACCTCGCCAAGACGGAAAAAGACCAAACGATCTCAATGCAAAACATTCTCGAGGAAAAAGCAACCGGCACTCTGCGTTTGCGTTAGAGGATCCAGTTCGCAAGATCTAGGAAGAAAACGTCCATCGGCATGCCCTGTCCTTTCGAAATACGACGAATGTTGCTGTACACAAAAGAGAGTACGCTAAACAACCAGCTTTAATCAACAGAGAGAGAGAGAGTGCATTATAGTATTGTCCATTGTTTCTTACAAAGACGATAACTTTACATTACAATTTAAGGGAAAAACAAAAGGATATTCTTCGTAGCGAAGATTTGAAGAAATTAAATTTTTTAAATTTTAGAAAAGCAAAAGCAAAAGGAAGGACAAGTCGGATTCTGGAAGAGGAAAACCGACCAGGCAATGTCACTGCGAACCACCTGTATCAAAGTTAGGATCAATCAGATAACAAATGTTCCGTTTACAATGTAAATAAAATAACGCTTTCGTAATTGGCATTCAGCTCTATGAGAAGTGTGCTTGAAAGGGGATTGTCCAATTTAAGTAAGAAGCTAGAAAAATGGAAATTTTCTTTCCCAAGGTATGAAAAACTGAAACACAAGTGAACGATAGCGTGAATATCGCTGTAATGTATTTTTATTTCGAATCTGGAAACAATAGGAGGCGAACGAGCAGAGCATGCCCCGCTCAACGATACTGCTCGAGAGATCGCCAGGGAAAACCGCCGAAAAATCGTAAACGAGATCGAGATCGAAATCGAAATACGTCAGTAAGCATTTGTAAAAACAGGTGAACGAACGGACGACACTGAACTATTGAAGCAAAATCGTATACTTTTCTTTTTGGTTTTATTTCAGGAGAGGAGGAAAGTGAAATTTTGCAAATGAAGGTAATAACGAATCGATATTTTCTGATATTTCGTTTGTATTTGCTTACAAAATCAATGTAAATGGTCGAAGGCTCGATGCATATGTACGAACGGGTTCTGTCGTGCTGGGTGTCTCTCGTGTTTTTTTAGCAGCACACTGAACTATACGAGAAACCATAGATAAGACGAATTGATCCATAAGTTATATGACTCGTAAGGTTCGAGGCAAAAGTGAATTGACTACTATAAATCTGTGGCATGTCATCAGAACATACACCAGCATTGTCCGACACAGAGTTATAGACGTAATAGTGATTGAAAAATACCCGTGTCGTATCGTGCGACAAAATCCACTCGTTTGCATCAGGACAAAGAGACATCGTCGGCTTAATAATTAATAATTAACTAATGCAAATGTAAATTATAAGTATGAAGTTATAGAAGAATAAATTAATAAGGTATGAAGATATTGAAATCAGTATCCAACGAGGATCGTTTCATCATAGAATGTTTAACAAACTAAAAAGAAAGAAATCTACTTTGTGCTAAGAAAAAGAAAAGAAAGTACATTGCCAAGAGGATGCAGCATAAACAAGAATAATAAACAGTTTATTCGATTTCAATTGCGCTACTGAAGTCAAAGATACAATACGTAAAGAAAAAAAGAAATGAGTGTTTAAACATCAACGTATATCTTTATTTTTAGGATATTAAATAGTCCATATGCATAAAGAAGTCTTGTAAGATATCTTACACGTATTCTAAAAACTGTAAACCTGAGCTCTGAAAATTTGGAGACATATTTTTTTCAGATGCATGTTTCTCTATCGATTAATCTAAAATCTGACACGCTATACAGATATGTCATACCGTAATTTTGCAAATAAACAACAGGTACAGCTGAAAAAATATAAAACGATTACTGTAATCTGCCATCTGTTACAAAAATCTGCGTTTTCTACATCGTATCTCGTCTACAAATATAATAAAATGTTCAAGATGACTCGCACAAGGCAGTGATCGTAAATGAAGGAGAAAAATATCGTGATTACTTTTAAGCCATATATACTCGAATACTTATACATATTAGCCATTCAAACGACAGTTTATTAAATACCTACACTATTTATACTGCATCAATCATCCATCTTTCTCCATTGAAACGGAATAAAAACATCTCTGGAGCTTGTTTATTGTTAGAATATTCGGTTTCCGAAGCACCAAGCTTCAAACATCCTGCTTCGATGCGAAGTTCTGTGATATAACGGATCGAGACGAAGCTCGCAGATGGTAAATTAAACTATTACGTAACATATTATATTATCTTCAATACATTGGAATGATCAGTCTCTTCTCACAGAATTGGCTCTCAACCGCTTCTTAAACAAATCCAGCTGATTGTCAAGCCAACCAAGGCAATCACATTTTTACATATGGCATGAGATTTAATAAGAGTTTGAAGAATTTGATTAAATATGTGCTATAAGCGCCGACAACTGGCAAGTCTAATACGATATTCATCTCAATACCTTTCCTGGTTCTGGTTATTAAGGAAGAAATATGTGTACATATGAAAATATAAATTCACCGTGTACTGCGTCTATTTGCATTACGCAACTGCTTTTCAATTTCAAATTGTCGCAAATCTGCTCTTTGTAGGAAATCTTGACGTTCTAAGTATCCATCTTTTCCTTTGTTGTGAGTGCTAATTTCTTCCTCCAAATTCTCTTGCTTCTTATAATTGTCCCAGTCTAATTTGGACTTTTCTAATGTACTAATTTTTGCCTTTTTTCCTAATTGACCAAGGACAGAAGAAATACCTCCTAAACCAGCCTTTTTAAAACCTCTGCCTCTTCCAGATCCTCTCCCTGCAGGAGGACCAGAATTTCCCATTTTCTCAGAGTTCTCAGCAGAGGACAGCGATAGTCTTGCTTCTACTGAATCAACCGAGACTTCCTTCTCTACTTTTACCTCCTCGCCAGCAAATTCAAATACCTTGGTTATCTTCACTTTCTCTTCTACTTTTGACTTTTCTATGGGCGGTGATTTCTCTTTTGATTTATTTGTTGTGCTTTGCGGGTGGGATTTAGGTGCCGTTGCTTCAAAAGAATAAAAAATACAAAAATTTATAAAATAATAGCAATGTGTGCGTAATTCATGAATATTAACCTATTTGTAGTTTCAATTATTTACCTGTATCCTTCATAAAATCAGCCCAGAGAGAATCAGCTCTTTCTTTCTCCTCTTCTTCGGTCAATTGTTTCTTCCCTTTGGGCTCTTCTTCCTCTTCCCCTTCCTCTTCTACCTTCTCATCAATCTCCACTCTCCTTTTTGTTCTTCTACGCTTCTTAATTTTAGACTTTATAGCTTTATTCTTTTTTCTCCCTTTTTTCTTTGTAACTTCTCTTTTGTTTTCATCATTTTCGTCCTCAGGACCACTCTCTGCATCACCTTCAGACTCTACTTCAGACACAGGCTCGCTGTCTGCGCCATCAGGAACATAATCTTCATCATCTTCATCGGAGTCAGAAGGCAACTGATGTTCCTCAGTCATACTTAATTAATTTTACTTTTACTTTTACAATAACTATAAAAGAATAATATTACGCATTTATTAAAAACCAATTTACACTATCAGACACAGTGTCACTGTTTCATTATATGTAGGAAAGAGTTCTTGAAAAACTTGAATCTTCACATTATGCACGAAATAAAATTTTAAATGTACACTTACTTTGAAAACTTTCATAAGAACTCGCACGACATTTGTTAACAAAAACAAACGACATTTCTCATTCAGGTAATACATTCAGGTAATTAGTGTTTTTGAAATATTGAACTTTATCACGTATACAAATAAATGTATAACCTAACCTCTTTGAAGTACGCGATCCCATAAATAATCGGGAGTCAATATCTTAGTTACTGGTTATTGGTGTTTTGATACTTACGTACTTTGTCAAAAAACAGGACCTTCTGTGCCGAAAGTTTAAGTTACGCGTTGAACCACCTTCCGGAACGTTCGTTAAAACATTCAAAATGTTATCTTTATTTCGTCACCCGTCGCTTAATCGTTGTACATTGACAAGCGTCGAATGAAAATTATTATTCGTTTACTAGTATGGAAAAACAAACGCTGCTGACGCGTGAGAAAATCGCGGAGAAACTAACTAACAACCAAAGTGTACGAATCGAAGATCACGATTCGCAAATGCGTTCAATGTACATTGCCAGATTGTCAGCCATATTTACTTGCTCGTCGACCGCTTTCTTTTGTGAAACTCTAAATCATAATGTGAAATTCTAAATCCTGTATGAATTTGCAAAGTGTTATCATGCTAATAACGGAGAAAATAATATAATTTAACGAAAAATAAAGACTTTTATTCTCTTATAAATGGATGGCCTTTTACGAATTTTTCTACAATCAGACAAGGGCAGTGTCGACATCTATGTGCAATTACGTACATGACTGTAGGATAGAAAATAGAATAATTTCGGTTTATCTATCTACATATATCTCTTTTCTTCATTCCTACATACCTTATAAATGTTTCTTGATTTAAGGTTGTGTAAATAAGTACTGACTAAAGAAAAATATTCAGTAGATTTTATAAAATTTCTACTACAGGCAGTACAGTTTCAAAGTTCAACGTTATTTATTTATTTACGAACATTCTCCAAAAAAATAGTTTAGTAATTTTGGTAATATTTGTGCTTAATTATTTCTAATTATATAAACATGACAAATATTCATCGATATCGCATAACAGTTGTGGTACTGAAATCAATCGTATAATCTTTCGCAACATATTTTAAAAGTATTTCCAGTTGTTAATACTTATAATATATTTTTTCAGTTATTTGTCAACTAATTATGTATCATTTATTTGATAAAGATTATTCGATGAAAAGAAGCAATTTAAAAAGTAATTTTATATAATAATACCTTAATAAATAAAAGTATACTAATAAATCAATATATCTTCATAAAATTCGAAATCACATTAATTTTTACTTTCCTTTTTCAGAATTCCAACCTACATGGATCTCTAGTTACAAATATCTTGAGAGGAGAACACGGCCAATTACATGGAAAGGAGTCGAATTGCGAAGGGACCTTCACGAATTTGTCGAACAATAAGTCAACTCCTACTTTAAGATGTTAAGCAGGATTAACAGGGTGACCGCGAACCTCATATTACAGGATCCATTTCGAATCCTCTTTTCAACGAAATGGTCGACAGCTCATTCACGAGGATTTAAACCGGATTAATAGATCAATCGGCCCTTTCCTCCTACGAAACTTTTGAATGGAAAGAAATAATAATAGTGTATAAAAAAACAAAAATAGAAAATCAACTTGACACGAGATAAGTAGTCTCTCAACACTTGATAAAATAAGTAAACATCATTACAGCTATTTATAGTTGGAAAAGGCTTCAAGGAAAATTAAGTTTATGGTAATAAAAAAACTAAATATACGGTAATTGAGAATTCTCTATTGTGAGGAATTAATAAGAAAGTTTCCTCGCCAATGTATCTATTTTGCTTCCGTTAATATTAATAAAATATTTTTTATTAAAACTAAATTCTTTTTTAAATATTTGCTCCTGAAATACATGTCAATTACGTGCGACTTTCGCATTTAATTTAATAATTTAATTTAATAATTAAAGAAGGATTTTAGGGAAGAATAATTGAAGAGACGCGACGGATATCCGGAAGAAAAACCATTCGGAGCAAAGGTCAATTCCAAGTGAAAAAGAAAAAAAAGCGTTATTTGTGGATGTACGCTCCGAAAGAGGATGGAAGAGGAAAGGATGGACCAGGTGGCTGCAGATGACGCAGAACTAAACGATTGGACGAGAATCTTGAGGAAAAGCCAAAGAGGAGGACGTGACCAAGTCGAAGGAAGACGCTTTTACCGTTTAGAAAGCTCCGCCCGATTTTCAGAGGCGTCTCAAATCTCCCTCTTCTCTACCAATGTTCGTTCTCTCTTCTCTCTCTCGCGTCTTCTCTTCGGCATCCTCCTCTTCATCCTCCTCTTCTTGGCTAACAATTTTGACGTACGATTAGTTTCGCGTGAGCATCGCGACTTATCGTGACATTCCAATAATACCAATCGAAGGAAAAAAACTCAAGCTCCTCGAGAGAAGGATCTAGGTGAGGTGTGTCTAACAACCCTTGCGAAGTTTTCTATTCGAACGCGGTACTCCGAAATTCTGATTCGCTCTCGACAACGTACAAACTAGTGAGGAAGATTGTATACATTTTCTTTCCTGAAGAGGATATTTTTAAGCTCCGTGTAAATTAGGTAAATTAGAATTTATTTCTTTTCTTCATCGCGTGCAAACCCTTGCAAAAGTTTCGTACTCGAAGAGAGATTGGCGCTCCGAAATGATGTTGTCGATCTCGCCACTGAAGGAAATTCGTTTCTAATTCTAAGCATCGAATAAATTAAACCGTTCTTCTTATCTTAAAAGAAACTCGTTTGCCGAGAAACTCGTTCCCTGCGGACTACTACCAAAGCTACCAAATGACTAAAATAGCACGTTACGACATTGTAACTAAGAGGTTTGACGGAAAATTGATGTACAACGATATGTACAGCAAAACGATGCAATTAAAATAGTTGCAGAAGATGCCACGTAAACGTCGAGCCTCGACACCGACGTTGGATGCCGATGATGAGGAATTCGTCTCGGAAGAGAAATACAGCAAGGATGATTTGGACAGTCGTGCGCCAAGAAACGCGGCGAACGCCAGGGAACGGGCTCGGATGAGGGTGTTGAGCAAGGCATTTTGCAGATTGAAGACAACGTTACCCTGGGTACCAGCCGATACGAAGCTCAGCAAGTTGGATACACTTCGTTTAGCGGCTACTTACATCGCTCACCTTCGAGCGGTCCTCAGAGATGACGGGGATGCTCATTCGGAAACAACGAGATCTCTATCTTTAGCGCTGGTAAGTTTCATTGGCTGTTGTGAATAAAAGAGTTACGATAAAAGAGTTTGAATCGTAAAGAAAGAGCGGGATACAAGCGTCAAATACACAAATTTATTTTTACAACTTTATATCAATCACGTGCGTTGATTAAAATTCGAATGTTATTTACTGTGAAACATTATTATCGTTCAAATTTCGGAGCTATATATACAGCCAAGCTAAAAATAAATGGGGCAAGACATTTTTGTTGAGTTTTCTGCATAATTGCGATTTTCGGTGTCACGATTACGAGTTTGTAAAATAACAGAGGATCCAGGTGGATCCACTCGGCGTCACAACGTCGCCTTCGCAGACACGTTCTCTGTTTACGTCTGTCCAGGTGGATCGAATCACCCTTAGAACTTCTGCCCATCCTTTTTCACCGTTAATCCTAAGTTAGTTCCATTATTCGAGGAACGATCGTTGATTCATTCAGCGTTGCAAGACAATTGAAATATCATTTTCAACGTTCGTTTCATTAAAAAGTTATGAAATCGAATTCATGTACAACGGGAAAAAGTTTTACAGTTCCAAGCTTCTTAAATCTACTTTGATGTTTCTTCAGTTGAACAACCGAGCATTTTCAAAGGAGACTTTGTCTAAATTTTTTCTCATATTTTTTTGTAGTCTTGGCCGTTTGCTCTTCAAGGTGGAAACGCTTCCATGTTGATGAACAACAGTTGCAACGTATCATCGTCAACGTCGTCTAGTTCTAATCAGTATCGTGGTCAGCAGGGAGCCCACGATATTCAGAATTTCCATCATTCTGGACATCAAAGCATGTCACTGCGTCATAATCACGAGCCACAGCTTTCCTATTTTTAATGTGTCTGTCAAGTGAAGGCATTGCAGCTCCTTGATTGAGGAACAATGGAAGAACGTTTTGTTCGCAAACGAAAGATTAATAATCGGAGAGATCTATTTATTGCAGAGTGCCTTATTACTCTATTTATTTATCTGCCCATTTTATGTTTTAAGAACGATTATTAAAATATCCGTACGTATCGTAATTATTATTGTAACCAAAGCATAAGTACTAGTCCAATAAAGTATTTCTACAGTTATGAATTGCGTATTTTCAGAGCTTTTCCCGTAACTGATTTGTTTAATTTGAAAATAAAAATTTGAAATAGAATCTGATCTTAACTTTACTAACAAACACTTGCATGACACTTTGTAATTAATTTCACATATTTGAAAAAAATGTCGAAATTGAATTAAATTAAATTAACGAGATAATCTACTTGGAATTGGATATTTTATAAAAGTAAGTTTAGACATCAATAATTCAATATTACAAAATCAGTATCGCGTATAATTTTAGAAATTCAAGAAAATGTCACTCGAGTAGTATTCCGTATAATTTCAAAAATATAAATCCCGCGGAAGCGAAAATGCGATTCGAAAAAAATTTATGCGGCTTCCGAAATGGAATCGCAGGAAGGACGTGGTAAGAAAAGAAAGAGAACGTCAAGTTAAATAAACAGCACGAAGGGCCTTTTGTGTAAACTCGAAACTAAAATAATATATCTCGTTCCATCTACAAATCGGTCGAGGTAGGGCGTATCGTTTAAAACCCTCATATGTCAATACAAACCACCTTCCCAACTTTATGAATCATGTGTTTCTTCACATTTGCTGACCGTTCTTAAAAATGTTTTACACGTATTATTAATGTTAATAAAGAATGAATAAACTTCTTCTCTTCGCGCGAGTATTTATTTCATTGTAAACATAAATCAAACGAAATTTATGAGCATAGTTCTACGAAGTTTTACTTGCTTCTTTTAAGAAAAGATTAGCAAACGCTGCAAAGAATATTCTGCAGTTAAAAAAAATTATTGTCGATAAAAATATTAATGAAATTTTAACAAACGTGCTAATACATTAACAAAAATGTCTGTTATGACATCATCTAGACACGTTCATATTATTTTAAATTTTATTTTCAAGACGAATAACTTTTAATTTACGTAATTTTAATTTTATTTACTAGTGGCGTTGTAATATTATTTTGTGCCAAATTAATAATGTTTGCCACAAGAAAATGAAGAGAAAATTTAATACGAAGTTGCATTAAATATTTCTACATTATATCTTATTTATATTAATATTCTCTCAATTCTTAATACGTGTATTTACCTAATATATAATTAAGATTCCTCTATACTTCAATATTCACAGCAATTATTCCAGCATTATCTTCAAAAATTCTAAAAACGTGTACATATTTATTTTAATTAAAATTGAATTATATAATCTCTACGGGAAAAAATGAGAAGTTAGTGTTTTTTTAGCATAGATCTAAGATAAACCTCATAAAATTTCGTGTCTCTTGTTTTAAAACATCGATCGTGAAAAATGTTGTTATATTATATTTTAAAACGCGTTGAGTTTGTTTACTACGTACAATGCTTTTTTAAAATCATAGAACCCCTAATTACAGATGACCCGTTTAATTTTTACGTTTCGTACGACATTACCAACGAGGTAAAAAATAAATGTAACTAATCTAATGCATTTTCATATCACGCGCTCGAGGAATTTCGAAGCACAGATGAGATCACAAACGAGGTATATGAATAGACTTAGCATACAATGCATTTTTTTATCCTACGATTTTGGGATCCTCCTCCTACCATTTTCGTATCACATCCTGTCATACTAATCCAGGCAGACTTTGAACCGCAGCACTACTAGCGATGAGAATTAAAATCAAAAAATATGGAAAGTGGTGCCACAGACGAGACATAGAGTGCACTAAAAAATCACTGATTCTTTTTCAAGTATGTTTAGTCGGTATTTCAGAGCACAGGACATAAAATCCAATGAAATGTCACATCTATTCTGTACTTCGTCTGTGGTTTTACAGATAACATCACGTTCTACTCTTTCAATGTTTCTACTCTTTCAATGTAGGTGGCGCTAGTCTACGACGGAAGTGGAACTTTTTCTAAAAACTCGCGACAGATGGCGCTCGCGAGCAGTTTTCCGTTTAAAATTTTAAACTCGTGTCGAGCGTTAAAAGAAACAATTATAAACAATCGTAAGTACAAACGTAACACCCATACTCGTTCGTTTTTGAACATTTTATCTTCCTTGGCAATGATTAACGACATGAGTATTTAATGAATTGATTTTTGATTAGGTTATATTCGTAATATACAGTGAGTGCACCATGTCCTTCGAGCGTCTGGTCGATTCTCCGGCTGCGAAAAATATAATTGAGGAAAGAAAAGGAAAAAAGCTCCGCGTCCTTCTGTCACCGTACGGAAATCGCAATTCAAATCGTCAAGGTAAGCTGCAAACATTGTAACACGATGCGTATGTGAATCCTAGGTGGATTCCTATCGATGATTGGAAAAAAAAAAAAGAATGCGTATACGCATGTTTCTCGAGTGCAATCAAGGCTTTGAAAAGTCCTCGTCGATCGTTTCTCGGAAATTCTAATATCGAATGTTTTCGAATGCCGCTTTGCTCGAGTTCCTTGTATCAGTGGCAGATAAAATTACTATATAAATGGTTTAGAATTAACCTAATATGCACGGTAATATTGTTTATTAAAAACAATCTTAATAACTCGACACTAAGTTACTAGATAGTTACTAGATAATATAGATTCAATTTTAAGTTCTTATAATTAAGTAAATAACTAATTATAAAAGTTTAAAAGTAAAATTAAAACAAGCAAACTAATTATAAAAATTATAAAAATGAATGATTTGACGAATGAGTCGATTTCGGTCTTCGTAATTATCGTTGCGTCTTCTCTCTCTCTCTCATAGAAATTCAAATAACATGAAAAATCATTTTACATAAGTTGTTTATAAAATCCACGTTCCGAATTATTTAAATAATACGATTCGTTTGTTAATAATAATCGTTCGAACATATTTCCCAAAATATTAACCACCTTTAACCAACGAAAATTATTTCAAATCAATTCCATCAGTTAATTTCCTACTTCTTTTCTCTCCTTCTTGTCGTGACACTAATTTTAAACATCATACATCAAACCGTGCGTGCAAGATTAATTTACTTATGTTCGTCTTTCTCTCTCTCTCTTTCTCTCTTTTGTAATAAACTGAAACAGAAAGGAATGCAAATGAAAATATCACGGGGAAGAAATGACAAATCACATTTTACACTTTTACGAGCAATTTTAAAATTCAACGTGTTATCGATCAATTCTATATTATCAAATGATTGGCGTTGAATTTCTCGAAGTTATTAAATTACCTAGTTCCACAAATTGAAGAGGGAATGACACAAACGTAAATTCCTATCTCTCAGCACATCTTTCTTTGTATTCTAATCTATTAATGGTGGCTGAGTTACTCAACGTATAAATATAACATATAATATTTTATACAATATTGTAATATTGTAATAATGTAATATATACTGTGTATAATGTGATTATTGTAGATTATAATTATATTATAAAAATTTATAATATTTATTAATAATAATATAATATTAATTTATTATAAAATAAATTGATTATTATATAAATTATATTATATAATAATAATATATATAATATAATCCAATTGTATTTATTATAAAATAATATTAATTTATTATAAAATAAATTGATTATTATGTAAGTTATATAATTATATATTATTATATAAATTATATCATGTATAATATATTTAATACGTCAAAGCTTCATGTGTTAAAAAGTAAGTCACACTAAGAACACCAAGAAAACACTAAGTAAACAACAATAAGCTTAACTTCATTCAAATATCAACCTGACTGAACATTTTTCTATTAAAATTGCGTACAACTCCGAAAGAAATTATGCCATGAATAATTCAGTTTCCTCGAACTTTTTCCATTACTGCGCCATCGTCATAACACAAACATAAAAGACACGTTGTTTAAACGATCTTGCGCGCCGGATGGTTAATAGCCTTTTAGACAAGGCATACGTTTGCGCAGTTCTTAGGCGCGTTTAAATTCAAACCGTTCAATGGTCAATAAAAGTTTATTCCTACGCGCGTGGCAATGAAAATTTATCGCATGGCTGTGATATCATGCGAAACGAAACGCAGGTGCGCTGGATCATTGCCGCGAATTCACTCGCGGTCTCTGTGAAAAGAAAAAAAAAAAAAAAGCGTAGAATACGCCGAACGAACCCTTTCACGCCGATCTCCGTTCCGTTTCAGTTTCGCCAGGAGCCACATTTTCGACAGCTATTACGTAACCATTCGATCTTGACTTGCGCGATCAATTCGTTCGAACCGCGCTGTTGTCGAAAACGTTGCTCGAGCACGATTTCACATCGACGGCAGCAGGAGGATAAGAGAGAAATTTTCGTACGGTTTACGACCGTTCGCTATCCTCGTTTTGCTCATAGTCGGATCGTAATTTTGCGAGCGAGGATTTTACTGTTGCTGCGCGCTCGTCGTATGCTCTCCGCTTTCGTACATTCAATTCTTTACTTGCTCGAGCCAGCGTCGCGGAAGAGAATGAAACTGTACGAGCGACATTTCATTCCGTTTGCTGTATTTCTGGTTATTTCGAAAATGAACGATCTTTTTGTGAAAGCGAAGCTTTCATGTACTTGCATTCGACGATAATTGGATTATGGATGAAAATAGTAAGTTCTTCTATCTGTGAAGGTTTAGAGGATTTATCAAATGTACGAAAATGAGGCGAAGAATTTTGTCGTGACGAAACTGAACAGAAATTGCAAATTTCCACTGTGAAAGTAACGTCGCCGCGAATATAATGTAATTTCGCAACGCGAAGTTTCCTCGAAAAGCCGCGAACGGAAATTACGCTTTGCAAGTACACTGTTATCGTGTCCTGAGAAAAAAAATGACCACCGATAAGAACACACGTGTTCGAAAGACGAAACGATCGCTCCCTCGAGTCGCATTAACTCCACGCAATCGAGGAATGTCGCCTCCGTGAGTGCAGAAGCACCTAAAACCGCGAGTGCGTTTCAAAAGTTGCGAAAAATAACGTGTACACAAGTTTCGTAGACAGGAATCATAAAATTCTTATCGTAACGATAAAGTGGTAAATGATAACCTCGCGGTCGTTGCGG